GGGGGGGGGGGGGGGGGGGGGGGAGTCACCTTATTCCCAGCGTTGATGTCAGCGCCTCATGGGAAATCGCCTTCTCACCTCTCCTGGGCCTAAAATAGAGGTGGTGGGGGGGCGGGTACTGTCACAGCAAGAGGCAGCTCCCCCATCCCCAACAGAGGCCCTTTGTCCCTGAGGAATCAGGACCAGGAAGACGTTCCTTGCCTCCATTCTTTTTCCTCAGTGACCTGTCATCCCCCAGTGTGGATACAGGATGCTGGCCTTGGGGAGAAGGTCAGGGTGGGTCACATCAATGATCTACACCACCATCCCATTCCATCTCAGGTATCTGGCTCTTGGGATACCGAGCAGAGGTCAGAGATCCCAGCCCCCAGTGTTGGGACCCATCTTGCCCAGGAGCCCAGGAGCTGGGTTGAGGGGCACAGCTGGGGAGGTAGGTTGGGAAGTCAAGTATTTTGCAGAGAAACCTAGTATGACCAGAGAGGGGAGGCCTGAAGGGGGTGGAGGGGGTCGTCCAGAGGTGTCTTCTCCTCAAAGGTATGGACTAGCAAGGGCGGGGCAGAAAGGGGGCACGCTAACAGCATGAAAACGACCTGGGTAGTTTCTAGTTTATCTGGAGGGAAGGATTGGGGTGCCCTGTGTGAAGGACTCAGGAGCCCAGAGGACAGTCCATTTCCTCTTGGTGGTTCGGGTGACGACAAGCCCTGAAGCCCTCCTGGAGGCAGCGGCATCTTTGGCCGGGTGGAGCCTGTGGGACGGGAAAGAGTCTGGACCGGGGTGTGGGAGGACTTCACAACGACTCCGCCACTAATGCGCAAGAAATCATAGAGATGCGAGCTGGGCTTTCGCCAAAAGAGCCCCCCGTCCCTCCTCCCACAGCCTTTGATCAACCGGGGCGCTCCGGTCTGGGGCTGGGGAAGCCCCCTCCTGGGACAACGCTCGAGGGGCAAACCTGGGCCCGGCAGCCACGCCCCCGCTCCAGGTCCCCAGTCGGAGCCCGGGGATACCTCTATACCTTTCCTCCCTCCCCTACAAATCTACGGGTCCCCGGAGACCCTCAAGCAAAAAGGGTGGACTAGGAGGGGGCCGTGAGAGGGAGACGGGTGCGCCCCCGCCCTGCACCTGCCGAGGGGGCAGAGGAGGTGCCCGGGGCGGCGTCTCTTTTGTCCTCCTGTCGCTGCGGCCCCGGCCATACCGGGCTGGGG